CAGATTCACCTACTAAGGGACCTTAGATACTTTTTGCTCACCATTTACCTTAAAGTATTGACTAGCAAATAAAAGTGCTCAAATTTGATCACTGACTGAGGGAAGAATGAACCTTAGTATCATTTGATATTTATTTTATTATAACTTGCTCATTATTTGCAAATAATTTTACATTTGGTTTAAGAGTCATCTTAGGTAATTTTACCTGTTATTGTGCATATAAATTTGTTTTATTGTATGTATTGACTTAGGGATAAAAAGCCCCAGTTTGTTCAGACAAATGACCTTAATTTCAAACTTTTACAAACTGATTCGAACTTGAATTGTCAAGTTCTGTTAAATTGAAGACTGTTAGAGGAAATAAAGGATCTGACAAGGGCATCCAAACAGGAAATATGGAATCAGATACTTGGAGTGTGGTGAGGAGTTTGATCTGTTTTGAGTTTTGCATATATGAGAACACTGTGTGAGATGAGATTGCGAAGAAGTGTGTTGGGACAAAATAGCAGAACGTTGCCTGTTTGGAGGTAGTACATTACTCTTTGCATGCAGCAGTTTTGCTTATACCTGTGTATATGTAACTATTAATGAGCACTCCTTCATGTATAACGAACCTAATTAGATGCCATGTTGTAGACATGGGAACTTATTCAGCATTTTCGATTAGGATCCTGACTATAATAACTATAATAAATATGTTCAGTTGTCTTTAATTGTGGTTTATTGCATTCAAATGTATTTATTCCTAATGTTCTTATTGTGAAGTTTCTATCTTAGCTTCTTCTTGTCTCCTTTTGATCCTTGACTGTAGCTCAAGTAAGCGGTTCATAAAGAAATAGAGCAAGATAATGATAATGTGAAAAGAGGAAATAAACAATAATGTAGGAAGGGTGAGGTTGATACTCAAATGGAAGAGTGTCCATAAGCTTCCAAGTAAGAGTTAATTCTCTAGTGTGAACACATGCATTACTTATTTCAATTCTAAGAAGCAACAAATACCACCTCTTCACATTTGTGCACGTTATTACCTTCTTGAATTCTAATTCTCATTAATCAGAGATTTTGCATTTAGCAAATAGCTGAGGATTTTAGTCAGATGGCACTCACTTACATTAGTCATATACTGTTTTAAGTTAAACTCACTTTATGTAGGTCAAGAGGGATAAGTAACTAGTGGGAAACACAAACATTCAAGTTCCCTTAGCTGTTTTTCAGCTATGTTGAGATTGTACTTTTCTGGAGAGCTATCTTATAGAAAGTCCTATTTCCAGAGCCATATCTTTATGGTTTTTCTTTTTGTAACAGTGTAATTTCCTTGGAACTTTAATGGGTCTTAATTCTCTTTAACCTCACAAAATAAGCATGTGAGACACTGTTATGAGGTATAATAAACCACAACTTTTCTTTGGATGTAGTCACTATGTTCTTTAGGGAAATGAAAGATTGCTTTGTTCTTAGATAATTAAGGTATTTTCTCCTTTGTTTACATATTTTTCAGTTCCTTAATTTATTTAAAAGAAAGTATTTTCGTTATGTAACAGGAAATTATTTTTAGAGTCTAGATTTTAGAGAATCAGATTGGTTTTATTAGTGCTTATATTTTCTTGAATAGTGTTCTAAATTAATTTTAATAAAATATACACGGAAGTGGAACATTATGTTCAGTTGTCATTTTATGCTTTGTTTCAGGATGGCATTGTGGACCCTGTTGACAGTACTTTAAGAGATTTTTGTGGCCAGTGTATTCGAGAATTCCTCAAGTGGTCCATTAAACAGACAACCCCACAGCAACAGGAAAGAAGTCCAGTAAATACCAAATCACTTTTCAAGCGACTGTACAGCTTTGCACTTCACCCCAATGCTTTTAAGAGGCTAGGTGCATCGCTTGCTTTTAATAATATCTATAGGGAATTCAGGTCAGTATTCACATGACAGGGAGGAATGGCAAAGAATTTTTAAAAATTTTTTACTAATGGTTTTGAAGAGCAAGAAAGTGTTTATGTATCCATGTATATATCAACCATTTACTAAGTAATGTGTGCTAGATACTGTGACATTTTTGGGGATTGCAAAATAAATTAAAATGCAGTTTGCCTGCAAGAAGTGTTCAGAAATTGGCCCCTACCTGGTGGTGCAACAGGTTAAGAGCACTGTAAGCCAGCATCAGCAGTTTTAGATCGAGTTCGATCCCAAGCCCCAGAGGTGTTCCACATGGCAGACCTCTCCTGACTTGCCCCACTCCCCTTAGCAGCATACTTCATTGATCAGCTTGTTTTGCTCCCCTTTCTGTCTCTGGTAAATCCTTTCACCACCCCTGCACCTCTGACTTGTACCCCAGTTCTGTATGCGTAAATAAATAAATATTTTTTAAAAAATGTTCAGAAAGTACTGAGAAATACATAAAAGCATAATATGTATTATGGATAAGCATCTTACAAACATAACAAGAGACATAAAACAGTGTCTTTGGAGTTTGTAAGAGTAGTATCTAACCTAGGTTAAGTAGGTAAGAAAAGGCTTCTGTAAATAAAATTTTTGAGATGAGACTTAAAGGAAGAATGGAAATCAGCCAGAGCATTCCAAATCAAAGAAATAGGATGACATATCAGGATGTGTAAGCATTTCATATTTGTAGACTGTAGAGTTACAGTTCATAAGGGAGTATAAGGAGACTAGCCAAGAACTTGTCTGTCAGGTTAATAAATGTAAGTCATCTTTAGTGATGTCAGGTTCCTGGAGTTGGAATAGTGGGAGCAGGGAGCGACGTGGTTAGATACCAGTTAGATACCCTCCTCACTTTCACCTGCCAATAGCTATTTGGAGAGTAGATCTGAGTGGGACAGGAACTGAAGAATAGGGCACCAGTGAAGTGGCTGTTTCACAAGTCCAAGAAAAAGGAGAATTCGCTCCTATCTGAGGTAGTTTTATTCACTTGTTTGTTTAGCATTACTTGTTAAAAATATTACCTGCCAGGGGCCTCCCTGGTGACACAGGGGTTAAAGACAGCTCTATCAAGCTTTCACTAGCCATTGTAGCACAAGTTTGATTCCCCAGCTGTCCAGGGAGCTGACCCACATGGCATAGCAAACCTCTTTTATCTCATCCTCTGCTCCCCTCAGCAGTACATTTCAGTGGACTTGCCTGTTCCATTCCCCACTGTCTCCGGTGAATCCTATCACTCCCTCATCTCTGGCCTGTACCCCAGTTCTTGTATGCATTAAAAAAAGATAAAATTATGTGCCAGAACTGTGTCGAATGTTGGTGATACAACCTTTTGTGAGGGCTGCATTTAAGAGAGATAGTGAAGTTAATCACACAGATGAAAATTTGTAGCTGAAATTAGTGCTTTTTAAATAGTGATACATAATTGCCAGGTAGTCTTACAATGAGGAGCTTGACCTTGTTTGCTCAGAATAACTTTTTTTAAGAAATGGCAGTAAAGACAGAAGAGGGGAGCGGTTATTAAAGTAAGACGGTAGGTAGGTGGATAAGGTTGATGATAAGAGAGTGTGTATGTGCCTGTGCATATGTACACGTGCATCTGAAAATTGGTAGAATTTGATGCTAGTACCATTTTTTCAAGAAACTTTTTAATTGTAAATCCTATATGTACAATAGTGTATAAAACATATGTATAAAGCTTTTAGAATAGTAATACTAATATTACAGTTCCTGCAAGCCCACTACCTAGTTTAATAGATAGAATATTATCGATGTTTAGAAGCTCCCCTGTTTATTCTATGGTGTTTATTTTCTTGCTCTTTTTTGTTGTTTCTTTATCTGTGTATATGCCGTAAAAGTATGCTATTGCATTTTGGAAAGCAGATAGGAATTTAGAAACATAGCTGTGTAGGGTCATTGTTTTGACTGGTAGAGGAAGGATTCCGGGAGACTTAGCTGGAGGGAGACAGATTTCATTTTTCCCTGAGAAATAACAGAAGCTCATTTCTAATTTCAAGAAACTAGATTGACAAGGTCCGTTGTTAGTCCTGGCGAGCAGAGGTCTCAGAAATGTTGTGAAGTTGACTAGCAACTAGCATGTAGGAGAAATAATCATCAGTGTGAACTACCCTATCATTTCTCCTCCTCAGTTTCTATTGGCCTACCCCTGTGTGTGGCGTGGTCAAAGCAAACTTACCTTTTTTTATATGTATTTAATTTTTAAATTTAATTTCTGTATTTGTATATGTTTTATATCATGTGTAATATTTAATTTCTTTATTTGTGTATGTTTTACATCAGGTGTAATCCCCATAGAATTTCCACCACCAATTCACCAATGCACCATCACCTTAGTCCCTTGTTTTCTGCCCTCATTTTGTATCCTTTCCCTCCCCTGCCCCCTGCAAAATGTCTCTGATTATTAGTTGTCTGATTATTTTTTTTAATTTTGTTGTTGTTTGTTCTTTTATCCCTGATCCCTTATTTATGTTCCTCCTGTAAGTGAAGCCATTCAATATTTTTATTTTTCTTTCTGACATTTCACTGAGTATAATACCTTATAACTCCATCCATGCTGCTGTGAATGGCATTAGAAAAAAAAAGATTATATATATTGCTAAATAGTATTCCATCGTGTATATGTAGCACCTCTTCTTGATCCAGTCATCTATTTTTGGGCATTTGGATTGGTCCCATATCTCACCTACTACAAATAGTGCTATGATAAACATAAACATAGTACATTATTCTTTTGAATTAATGTCTTTGTGTTCTTTGAGTAGATCACTAGGAATGGAATAGCTGGTCAAGTGGCAGTTCCTTTTTTTGGTAGACTGAGGAACCTCCACACAAATTGGTTGGACTAGTTTGCATTCCCACCAGCAGTGCAGGAGAGTTCCTAGCAAACATGTCTTGTGGGGTAAATGTACACAACCTAGAGACTGAACATGGATCGGAGAAGAATGTCAAATCCATGGTCACGGTAAGCTAGGTTATGAGAATTTAGGGTGGTACACCCTGGTCCTTTTGTCCATGTTGAAAGCCTAATGTGTGGTATCTTTTTTTGTTGTTGTTGTTGTTAAGATTTATGTATTTGTCCATACAGAACTGGGGTACAGGCCAGAGGTGCAGGGGCGGTGAGAGGATTCACCAGAGACAGAGTAGGGAGTAGAATAGGCTGGCTGATAAAGTACACTGCTGAGGGGAGCAGCAGGTGGGTCAGGAGAGGTCTGCTGTGCCATGTGGATCACTCCGGGGCAGGCAGGGGTCGAACTCATGCAGAAGTGGCTTTAGCTTCTTAGTGCTGTATTTTAACCTGCTGCTCCACCAAGGAGGGCCTGACCTGTGATATCTTAATGCAGACAGTTCTTAGCAGCTCTATTCTTGGCATCCTAAACCCTCCCTTATTTGAATCTCTGACTGTCAGGTGCACTTTTCTCTTCTTTCTTAGTATCTATCTTTGATTTCCTTTTCTTCTGTCTCCTTCTTTCTTTGATATCTCATTTATTAGACCACATTCCAGATGGCTTTTTGAGAAAAAGTGCATGAGAAATAATTTTAAAAATCTTACATGTTGAATAATACAAGTACACAAGTCTATCTTATATTTCTTCATGCTAATGTTAAAAAAAAAATTAGGATAATAATCCTGTTAAGCCAAATAACAGTTTGCAATTGGTGTTTTAATTCCTCTTTGTTCTCTAGTATCTTGTTTAATTCTGCTTTTTCCAGTAAGCTGCTCCTTTTTGCACTGGATGGTGCTATGATTCAGCACTTCACAGCACAGTTAGAATTACTATTTGTAGTTTTCTCTGAATTCCTATGAGATTTAATGCCTATACTTGTTTTGTATTTAATCACTTAGTGTTTTGGTTACTAAGGAATTCATTTTTCCATAAGAGAGCTGGCCTTTGCCCTTGGTTTACCTATGACTTTATATAAGTAAGATAGTCCACATATGTTGTTAATTGAATTAGTTATTTACATGTATAAGATATGCTAGTATAAATCTTAACTATTGGTGTTAACTTATTTTTGAATAGGTTGAAAACTTTAAATATTATTTAAAATAATATGAATGTGATGTCAGTCTTCTTTTCTATTACATCAGTTTTAAGGAGGTGTGTGGAAATGTGATCACACTTGTGGTTTTAAATTTGTGTTCTCTGAGGAATCCCACAGATGAAAGAGGAGGAAGGTGCAGTGTACAGTGAAAAGGCCAGCATTGACCTTTTGTTTTATGTGGTCTTTGCTCTGCTACTGAGGAAGTTTTTTGTTTGAGAAGTATCATGTTGTCTTAGATTTTAAAGTATTTGACCCATTTTTAAATACAAATATATTTAATGTATACATTATTTAATAATACCCTCTTGTTATCTCTGCTTTATTGTTTTCTTTGTTGAAGCTCATTATTCTCTGTTTTACAGGGAAGAAGAGTCTCTGGTTGAACAGTTTATATTTGAAGCCTTGGTTACATATATGGAAAGTCTGGCTTTAGCACATACAGATGAAAAATCCTTAGGTAAGCTTTCTGCTTACATATCATCTTGTTTGCCAAGTTTTTGAGAGCTTTTTCACTTAGAAGATCAGTCTCAGGTAATATCTCATAAGCTACTATTTTATTTTCTTATGTCTGCCCTTTGTGGTGATAAAGGTTAAAGGAAGATATGCACCTTCAGAAGTTCTACCATGCCCTCCTTCTCATAGATCTGCATTATTAACCTTTGATCACTCCTGAGGTTATCTCCTGGTTGGTCAGGGATTCTGCACAGAATAAGTGGGACAGTTTTATTATGATACTACAATGAAGCAAGCCAACTTCCATGAAGATACAAAATGTGAAAATGTAGAGGTTATACATTGTAAAGAAC